CTTAGGCGTGAATATAAGTGGAAAACTCTCAGACCTTTACAAAGACAACGTCCCACCACTAATTGACAAGCTCAAATATGATTTGGAAAGGTGGAATAATTTACATTTAACTATCGCTGGGAGGGTAAACTATCAAAATGAACGTTCTCCCTCGCTTCCTGTACCTCTTTCAATGTCTGCCAGTCTTCCTACCCAAATCACTTTTTCGTAAAATAGACACACTAATCTCCTCTTTTTTATGGCAAGGGAAGACTCCTAGAATTAGGAAAGAGCTTTTACAAAGGCACAGATCTACAGGAGGATTAGCGCTTCCAAACATAAGACACTACTATTGGGCAGCCAATATCCACAAAATAATTTTATGGACTAAGGAACCAACATTGAGTTCGTGTGAGCTTGAAGCCAAATCCTGTCCTAATACCTCACTTTTGGCTTTGCTTACATCTGCATTACCCAGCCGGCCAACTCAATATTCGAATAACCCGATTGTTATTTCCACCCTAAGAATATGGTCCCAATTTAGAAAGGCTCATGGACTTTATGGATCCTCTATTCATAGTCCCATTCGCAACAACCATCTCTTTCTGCCCCCTTACACTGATGGGGCCTTCTCTATGTGGCAGAGATTAGGTCTTATCAGAGTAAGGGACCTTTACATTAACAATATTTTCAGTATAGCTTTTGCCAACTCTCTGACCAATTTTGCCTCCCAAGCACTCATCTATTTAGCTACTTCCAGGTCCGTAACTGGGTTAAACTAAATAACCCTTCCTTCCCCAATATCCCTCCGGATTCAATAATTGACTCAATTCTGGACACTCTAACAACCGAAAAAGGTTTGATTTCAAGAATTTACAATTCCGTCTCTCGTCTCACAGAAACATCTCTTGGTAAAATCAAACAAGATTGGGAAGAAATATTGACTGTAAATGTAAACTCATTGTGCCTGCCTCAATAAAAAAAATGTAAAAAAACAAAACAATATCAAGACAACAACAAACAAGACTACAGAAATGCATTATGCATAAAATAGATTTTATAAAAATAAAAATAAAAAAACATTACGCCACCAACTTTTAAAAACTATAACATATTCTAACAATGTGTGCTTTGTGTATTTGTGATCTGTTGTTGGAGATCTAAAAAGAAATAGAAATAAAAAAAGTATTTCATTGTTTGTTACACACCAGAGGCCTGTACTACGAAGCTGGTTCAACCTAACCTGGATATGTTTGAGTTAGCCGGTTGGCCCAATCCAAAACATACGCGCTCTGGCTAAACTGTACTACGTCGCTGGTTATCAAGTGGATCGCTCAAGCCAGCCGTGTCCTATCTAGTTAGGTGCGCGTTCACATGAAAGGGGTGGTATTTGGAGCATTCGACCAATCTCAAACATGGACAAGCATACTGACAGCGCAGCGTCATACTTCCTGAATGAAAAGTGAACTTTAATATTAGTCAAATATGAAGAAGTTAAACTTTAAACATCCATGACTTAAACACTTTATCCAGGATAAAAGCCACATAGCTGCACCTGCAAGGTGAATACAGCTGGTAAAAGAAAAAGCGTTTGAATGCGTACATTAACAGGTTTATGATATCACTGCCCCGTTAAGACACGAGTGGATCTGACTTTAATTAAATTTGACTCGAGTGTTTCGTCAACTTAATGTGTTGCTTAAAATAATACTTCTGCATACAGTATGTGACACTGTAAGTGTTGCAAGGCCAGATACGGCTCAAGAAGCTGACTCAGATAAGGAAATAGACCTATATGATACATTATGATGTGATATGATATGAATGATAATGGGACACATCAACGTCTGCACTCACAGTGCAGCGGACTGTACTTAATGTTACTCTGATCCGGTTACTTATGTTGTGGCAGATATTTAAGTAAGCTTTCTTAACGCTAATGTTATAATAGTCAGATTGCTCTGAAGATGGGAGGTGATATTCTATTAATTTTCACGTTCACAGTCAGTTGATTTTTGCCGGCCGTCTTTCCTGCAACGGCAGTTTTTCTGCATTTCCTCTATCCTGTAATATGACTTGATAGCTTTAAACTCCGCACACGGAGCTCTGATTGGTCAGCAGGCGGTGCTTTCACTGAGTTGATCTCTTAGCCTGCAACCTAACCTCCTCCCGAGGAGGTTAGCCGCTCAGCATAAGTTACCATGGAGATCTAGCCCGCTAAAAAGAGAACCAGCGTCGTAAGACCGGAAAGCCCGAGTTTTCCCTGAAGTCAGCCGGCTAAGCGAAAATCCAGCTTCGTAGTACAGGCCTCTGTTCTGTGCAGCTTTATCTGAGGCTTCAAGACGGTATCCAATAATCTGCGCTGATGACAAATCTCCTCCTCGTATGCTGATAAAGCTTGAGCAAAAACTCCAAATATTTCATCGGCAGCTGCAGCTAGTCGCTCGTTGATAACACTTCTCAGTTTCTCAACTGCAGCCATTTCTACTGTGTGAAATATATGGATGTATGAAGAGACAAAATAAGCCAAACCAACTTTTATTTTTCTCGTTGGCATGAACTACACAACTTCCGGTGGAATGCTCTTCTTCGTCGGTTTAGGGAGGCGTTCTGCACTGATAAAGTTACATTACCGCCACCTACTGGATTGACATTCAAAAATACATTGTCCCAATCTCCAACTAATAACTAATAAGGGAAACAATAACATAAACAACATGTTCCCCAACACTTGTTCAGTGAGTTGCATGAATCACCTTTGTTTGACTTTTGGGTGAACCTTTTCTCACAAGTGTCACATTTGCATTTATTCCTACAATAAACAGTATTTCATTTTATTTGACTGTATATTTAATTTAACATTCTGTTCTTGTATATCTTATTCTATTTACATGTATATAGACTCCTAAATGTACTTAGTCAATTACAACACCCTCTGCATTATTTAGTTTATTGTATTTATTTATTGTTCCGACATGTATAGATTACTTGATCGGCATTACTTGCACATTGGTCTTGCAACATAAACTACTTCTACTCTATTCTACTGTTTCGTCTTGCACTATTTGTATTTATTATTTGTATTTTTTGTATCTGTTTTATTGTGTTATGTCCTATATAACTATGTTACAATGTTGGGGGAGCTTGGGACTTCAGATTTTCAATGCCATTTTCTACACTGTAGCTACTGTGCATATGAAAATAAAGCCTTTCAATTTTGAATCTTTGAATTTGAAATGCTTTTCACCGGCAGAGGAGTAAAGTATATTTACTCAAGTACTTGAGTACTTGATACTTGTTCTTTACTTGAGTATTTCCATTATTTGCTAGTTTGTACTTCTACTCCACTACAATTCAGAGACTAATCGTATACTTTTACTCCACTGCATTTATTTTGTACCTTTAGTTATTTTACAGACTTGGATTAATGATGTGAAATATAATCAACACTTAAATAAGACTTTAGTATCACCTGGAGTAAATTCACAATCTACCCTGCAGCAAACAAAGTGGTTAAAACTAGCTGCACCTTTACCAGCTTTGACTAACACTTTAATGCATCAATAACTATTATTAAAATATATAATATATATTATTCCGTAAGGGGAAAATCTGCACAATAAGTGCTTTTACTTTTGAACTTTTACTTGAGTAACCTTTGAATGCAGGACTTTAACTTGTAACAGAATATTCCTACACTCTTGTAATTCTACTTTTACTGAAGTACACAATGAGTACTCCTCCCACCTCTGTAAACCGGTGTGGGACCTTGTGTAGATTTTTTTACTTTAAGAAATCATGAAACTCCCCATTTTAAACATTTGCTCTCTGGTTCCTGATCAGTACGGGTCTTCTTGTGAATTGCTCTTGCATGGCTTTCGACTCTGTGAGAGTTGTGAGAAAGGTAGTGGACACTTTGGTTATAATAAAGGAAATGAGAAGGCTCTATTTAATAGCTTTCATTAACATGATTCATATTTTTTAAGCCATTGCAAATACAATGTTTTAAATAAAATAAAAAACACAGTACAAGGGTGGAACGACTTTACATAGTAATGTGTGAACACTTCTTTATGGAAAACCTTAATCAGAAACATAGATAGACGTTTTTCATTTAATTGATAGCCGTCAAATGAATGTACCGGCTTGGAAAGTATTCCCCTGTAAAATGAAAAGTAGAACTTGATGTTGCATGAAAGGAAAGCAATAAGATGCCATCTGAGAACCATTTCGTTTTTTATTTGAAATTGTTCAACATCTTACTTGTGATTCAAATGCAATCTCTTATTAGTATTACCAAAGTTCAATATGAGGCAACTCCGGTGATCAAACTAATCAACGTTTTTAAATAATATAATAACTTAAGCTCAAGCCCATGTGGACATCATTTAAACATCTACTGTTTGTTACAACTTACATCCACTTACTTATTATGTCAGTCATACCAGCAGCCTGGATGACCCTCATTTGCTTATATCTTTAGCGTTTAGGGTGAATCTGGTATTCTTACATCATCACCATACAAAGCTTTATTGTTAGATACATGCATTAGATCACACAGCATTAAGTGCACCGATCATTTCTATTCATTAAAGCACAATGTAGATTATTATTTCCAACTTCAGCTTGAGTGTCACCTTGAAACCAAAATAACAAAAAAAACAATTTGATTCCACTACAAAATACATAAATATACAAAACAAAATGACATGTTGAAAACATAAAGAAATCTATTTGCAACTTAATTGCAGTTTTTTAAATCTTCATCATAAGTTGCATTGCTCAGTCCCAGAGGTAGCTGCCTGGTGAACATTCATCCAGATGAAAAAACTGCTGCATTTATGTGCCTTGTCACTTGTGTGGGTACATATGGAAATCTACTTGTTGGTGTAAACCATGTAATACCTTTTCAATTCAAAGTTATGCCTTCTCGGCAGCGTGAATCCTTCTCATGTGGTTCAATAATCCATGGTTATGTCTGAAATTGTTCCCACATGCTTTACAAGTAAACGGTTTCTCACCTGTGTGGACTTTCATATGCCTTTTTAATGTTGCCGTCTCAACAAAGCTTTTCCCGCAGGTCATGCAAACATACGGTTTCTCACCTGTGTGGATGCTCATATGCCTTTTTAATTTTGCCGTCTCAACAAAGCTTTTCCCGCAGGTCATGCAAACATAGGGCTTCTCTCCTGTGTGGATTTTCATATGCCTTTTTAATGTTGTCGTCTCAACGAAGCTTTTCCCGCAGGTCATGCAAACATACGGTTTCTCACCTGTGTGGACTTTCATATGCCTTTTTAATTTTGCCGTCTCAACGAAGCTTTTCCCGCAGGTCATGCAAACATACGGTTTCTCACCTGTGTGGATGCTCATATGCCTTTTTAATTTTGACGTCTCAACGAAGCGTTTCCCGCAGGTCACGCAAACATAGGGCTTCTCTCCTGTGTGGACTCTCATGATGTGAATCTTAACGTTACAGTTCAATTTGAATTTTTTTCCACATGTTTTGCAATTATATTTCTTCTCAGCTGTGTGGAATTTCATATGCCTTTTTAATGTTGCCGTCTCATTGAAGTGTTTCCCGCAGGTCATGCAAACATACGGTTTCTCACCTGTGTGGGTTCTCATATGCATTTTTAATTTTGACATCTCATTGAAGCTTTTCTCGCAGGTCACGCAAACATATGGCTTCTTATCCGTGTGGGTGGTCATGTGTCTTTGCAGCATTGACATGTACTTAAAATCTTTCCCACATGTTTTGCAAGTATATTTCTTCTCACCGGTGTGGACTCGTATGTGGTACTTCAAGGAACTACTTTCTCTGAAACCTCTTCCACATGTTTGGCAATAATATGGCTTCACATCCGTGTGGGTGGTCATGTGTGTTCGCAATTTTGACATGAACTTAAAATCTTTCCCACAAATTTCACATTTGAAATTCTTCACTGTGCAAGTATTACGTTGCATGTCTGACAAGTTAGCGTTGTTTACATTGTTCCTTTTGGTTTTGTGATGTCTTTTGTTTATTTTTGGATCTGCAGTTCTTGTTAACCCTGCGTCATTAGAATTGTGAGAGATGAGCTGCAGATTACTTTGTGCTTCAACAACGCTTATAACTGGCATGTTGCCTACAGACTCTTTTGCAGAAGTCCGTCCGCTGTGCACACTTTCCTCATCAGTAAGAGTCACCATGAAGACATCAGTCTCCTGCTTTAGTTCAAGCTGCTCTTCCTCCTGACTGGTGCAAAGTTCCTCCTGTTCCTCTTTAATCTGTGGAGGCTCTGGGTCCTCTTGGTCCAGACTGGAGTTCCTTTCCTGACTACAGAGCTGCTGGTCAGTGAGAACCTCATCCTCATTACAGACATGTTGCTGAGGGAGCTCTGGAGGGACAGAAAATAAACAAAATACTTGTTAGAGCCAGTATTTTGCTTTCATAAGAAAGGCCACCTAAGTGTGACGTCTGTAGTCAACGCACTATAAAGGACTACAATTCCCACGGCGCCTGTGCTAAAGCCACAGTGATGGGCAACCTGTTGAAAGACGCCGTCGAGGAACAGTTTTTAACCGTACACGTACACGTACATACAAATCGTACAAGTACCCTTTAAGTTATGAAGTTATAAGCATTATCAAGAAAGAAAAAATACCTAAGTTGTTTGTTATTTTATTTGAGCTTTGCCTATTTCTTTTGAATATTGTAAAGGCCTATTTTCTTTGTTGCATGTGCACAAGTTTGTTATTTTATTTTGAGCAAACACATCGCAACATCATCGAAACCATCTGAGGCCAAGCAACACTTCAAACTGTGAGTAATTTAAAGGAAAGAAACGAGTTAGAACTGTCTGTTTAAAGTGGACCTATCATGCTATATTTAAATGATATATTGTAGGGCCATACCTATATAAGGCATATTTATACGTTTCTGTTTTCAAAATACCAAACAGATCATGCATTTTAGCCATGCCTCATTTCGCTCTGTGCTGTTTGCTGTCTACGGGGCTGATTCTGTGAGCTGCAGCTGACCACGCCCCCTTCCGGGGGAGGGGAGCCGTGCTCTGATCAAGTCAAGAGGGGGAGAAAAAGAGATCTCCGTCCTCCGTGTTTTATTATATAGAGTCGTTATTCATTTGTTTTAAAGCTCAATAAATAACAAAGAAGACCTTTGACCGGCACTTTTCTAATTTTGTCCAGAAGATTTAAACTTTAACGGACATCTTGACCGGCGAAAGAAACTGAAACTCTGCCGCACGGTCCCCTCGTTCCTTGGAAGAGGCGGAGAGGTGGGTGTTTGTCATCTGTTGGTGGACTAACCGGAGAGAATTACAGTGCTTGCCTCGACGGGGAGGGATTGCATTGAATTAAAGCAGCAGGAGCAAACGCTTGCCTCGGGGAGGGAGAAAAAAAGCCACAGCGGAGAATATACAGAAGGGTAACCATGGTAACTATGGGCGGGAAGTCTTCTTCGCTGCTTTTGTGGCAGACTACAGCGCCACTTACAGGCCTGGCATATGTACTACAGCGTCTCCAGCGCTTTCGAGCGGCAATGGCCGGCCGTGGCCCAACCCCACATTCCCCTGATAGGTGGAGAGTTGGCCCAATAGCCGTAGCGCCACTTTACTGACGTCAGTGAAGTGTTCAAATCTGGATCAGTTTTTATCAGATCCGTTGCAGCCCCTTTTTTAGAGATTTTGGTATAGAGGAAAATAGAGAGGGTTGTGTTTTCTGACACTTGGTGAGTTCCCTGGAACACCGGGGACACATATTCATGTATAAAAGACGTACAAAAGTGCATTTTGCATGATAGGTCCCCTTTAAGGCGTCTCGTGGCTTGATGGAAAGACAAGGAAGGAAGCCACGACAGTACTTTTAGTGTGGTGTTAGGGAAGCAAATTGCATTCAATGCTGGGCAATGGTGTTAAGATCAATATCACAATATCAAGACAACAACAAACAAGACTATAGAAATGTGTTATACATAACATTTATAAATAGATTTGATCAAATACAAATAAAAAACATTAGGCCACCAACTTTTTTAAACTATAACATTATTCTAACAATGTGTATTTTAACTGCTGTGCTTTGTGTATTTGTGATCTGTTGTTGGAGATCTGAATGTGAATTAATAAACAGAAAATAGCTAACGAGAGGCTTTAACCATAATGAATCCCATTCAGATTGTTTTATCATTTGTAAGTGTCAGGGAATAACTCTGTATACATGTTTACCTTTTGCCCTCTGACGCAGATGCCCAACCTTGAGCAGCCGCTATCTCCCTTAAGGAGGGGCTGCCCAAGCATTTTGTTGTTGTTACCAGTTTATGACCGGGCAACTTCGGTCAGAGATAGTTATTGATCAAAAATGATGCAGAGAAGCTAATTCAAGTATGTTGAATACTATACTGTGTGTGGCTTCGCCAGTCACACAGAATAAGAAAGTATTTTATTTTTTGTTACACACCTGTTCTGTGCAGCTTTATCTGGGGCTTGCCTACAGACTCTTTTGCACAGGTCCGTCCGCTGTGCACACTTTCCTCATCAGTAAGAGTCACCATGAAGACATCAGTCTCCTGCTTTAGTTCAAGCTGCTCTTCCTCCTGACTGGTGCAAAGTTCCTCCTGTTCCTCTTTAATCTGTGGAGGCTCTGGGTCCTCTTGGTCCAGACTGGAGTTCCTTTCCTGACTACAGAGCTGCTGGTCACTGAGAACCTCATCTTCATTACAGACATGTTGCTGAGGGAGCTCTGGAGGGACAGAAAATAAACAAAGTACTGTTAGTGTGGTGTTAGGGAAGCAAATTGCATTCAATGCTGGACAATGGTGTTAAAGGGCCCATGTCATGCTTTTCCGGTTATTACCCGTCCCCTTGTGTGTTATGAAGGTTTTTATGCATGTAAACGGTGTGCAGAGTCACAAACCCTCAAAGTACACCCTGTAGCGAGTAAAACTCTAACACAGAAAATACCTCCCCAAAACGCCTCGTTGGAGATACGTCATTGTCCATTTGATTCTTCCATTTTGTTCCGGGTACGGCATGATGTCAAGCCGTACCCGGAACGAAATGGACCAATCCGTGGAGCCGTTACGTTAAGCCCCCGCTGATTGGTCCAAATTGACCAATCCACGGACTTCCTCACACACACATCTGTGTGCAGGGAGCAGGCAGCTCTGCTGATTTCTCCTCCCTGGCTGCAGGCTGATAACAGACAGTTGGGATCGCGGCGAAATTCTCTCGACAGACCCATTCTCACCGCGTTTATCAACCTTTTTCTTACTCAATATCAAGCCACACTTATGCCCCTTTCACACCGGCGCTTTTCCAGCTCCTGCTGGGAGCTAGAGCCTGAAAAGCGCCGGTTTTTCCTGTTCACACCGCAGCGGCGGCGCGTCATAGCTCCGGAATGCGGTTCACTTCCAGCTCCAAAAAGTTGTCGGTCCAGAGGCAAGAGCTTTGGAGCTTTGGAGCTATGACGCGGCGTCGCTTACGTCTCTCTTACGTCCGTCGAGGCGGAGGCGGGGGCAGCCTCCTGAACAACAACAAAATGCCTGCGTTTTATCCAGTTTGTACACAATGATGGAAGACCTCAAAACACCGAATAAGCAGCAGTGGTCCACTGAAGAGACCAGCTACCTAGTGGCAATCTGGTCTTCCGAAGAGGTACAAAGGAAGCTGGAGGGGAGCACGCGGGCCAAAGCCATTCTGCAGCAATTGAAGCGAGAGATGGCGTCCGCTGGTTATGACCGTAGCATTTTACAAATTAGCAACAAATTAAAAAAACTGAAGAAGGATTATCGGGACCAAAAGAAAGAGCTCGGACGGAGTGGCAGCGGTCGTACGAAAACAAGTCCACATTTTGACTTGCTAAACTCGGTCCTCGGAGACAGACCGACGAGTGGTGTGGGATGCACCGTGAATTCGCTTTGTCTCTCGTCAATTGGGTTGGAGGACGAGTCATTTAATGCTGGTGAGTTATGCATTACTGATTTGTGTTATTTGTGCCTTTTTGTTTTACAACATAAACTAAACCATGTAGCTATAGACAGACCTGGCAATAATAGCTAAAGTTTATCTACTACAGCTACCGGGTGGGCACCCATGCGCTAGCATGCTAATGCTAACAATAATAAACAAAGGTATCCCCATGGCAAAGACAGCGAACGCCTCCAATGTATCTTCTTTCTTCTCACTAACGATGTATGATTTGTTGAAGGGCTACTTTTGTTCATTGTGTTTATATTGTGTTTACAGGCATATCTCGTTTGGAGTGCAGTGAGTCGGAACCACCACCACCGTCGGCGTAGCTCGCCCGTGCACATGCTTGGGTCTCTTGCCACAACAAGCAGCTCTTCCCAGGAATCTCTGGTGACCCTAACCCAGCCAGTGGGCCGTAACAAACAGGGTAAGGTTTACAGTGTTCATAATGGTAATACTGTTCCCTGTTGCCATTTATCATGGCATTGTCATTGTAGTAGTTGTTGAAGTTATGCAACTGCAGCCATAATAACAATAAAACATTTCATTACACAGTATATCATTTACACCTCCTAGAATGCCATGAACACGGTGTTGACCTCATTATTATTTTTCCCTTTGTAGTTAAAAGGAAGCGGGATTCGTCATCTGGCCTTATCCCGTTAATGGAGAGGAGTGAAGCCAGGGACGAAGAGCTACTGGAGCATAGCCGGGCGATGCTTCAGGAGGTGCAGAACGGCAATGCTGAGTTCCTACAGATCTTCAACGTCACAGAGCAGAGCAGAATCGAGCAGAGCCGGATCGACGGACTCGCCAGAATCGCAAAGGCCGAGCAGGACAGCCACATGCTTGGCTTGTTAGACAGGATGGTGAAGGTGATGGAGGCCAACAGCAAACAATTACATTATTTTTGTATCTCCATTGTTCATGCCCCTTTTGTGTACATAATTTTTAAATACACTTAGTTATATAATATATACAGTATGTTCTCCACACTTTTTTGCGAATACTTGTATACATTCTTTTTTAAATACACTTAGTTATAGTATATACAGTATGTTCTCCACACTTTTTTGTGAATACTTGTATACATTCTTTTTTAAATACACTTAGTTATAGTATATACAGTATGTTCTCCACACTTTTTTGTGAATACTTTGTATACATTATTTTTTAAATACTCTATTATATAATATACAGTACAAATATTGTCCATACTTCTGATTCTTTGATTTGTATGTACAATAAACATAAGTCAAAAGTCATGTCTTATTACATTTTATTTTTTCAGTGATCCACTGCAAACTAGCTAATGTCACTATGATAAAACACTGAACTAAAACAGTGGTAGATGACAAGTATGACTACTTGTATGCTAAGTCTGATTCTGCCATGCATTCTTTAAACAAAATGATGCTAAATGGAATCGTTACCTGTGTTATCTAAAATAAATGTGTCATTGTCAAGCTGGAGCAAGGCACACCATTTATTTTATTCCTATTTCTCTTTAGAAAGAAGTTAGGATATAAAATACTGACATAAATCTAAGTGAAGGAAACAAACTCAAATGTACTGTGCCCTTACCCAGCACAAATGTAATGACATAAAGCTGAGGTTAGCACTAAATTGTTCATAACACATCCAAAGAGAGAGCGACCAATCCCTGATGAATGTTGAGCACAGCTGTATCTGCACAGCAGCTCAGGTGACTGCACACACTCACACACATTTTATTTTTATTTTGATACGCTTTGGGTATTGCAATTTCACACGTTTACAAAAGTAGCTTAATAAATGTAGCTCTCGGGTGAAGAAAGGTTGGAGACCCCTGGTCTAAACCTTTTGGGTATGCACTATTTTTATAAGAATATTGTTCATACCTGTTTATCTGTTTACATTCTGTGATTTGTATACAAAATAAAACACAATTCAAGTCTGATCCAGTGATTTTATTGTAAGAGGCATGATACAAAATAGATCAGGTTTAACTGCAGTAATATTAGTGGTCCCCCATGTTGAAATACTCCATCAATGCAGATCTAACGTCAGCTCCTTCTTGTCTACCGTTCTCTGGAAAGGGGTGTAAAGGGGGTTGGTTGTACACAACTTCATGGCAATATTCAGTCGTCCCTTGAAAAGTCGTCCGATGCCTTCCATTTCGTCTCGTAAGAGGATAACCACAGCGAACAGCGCTTCAATACAATCGGCCATTGTTGTTGTGATTTCCGCGCGGTTTGGGTTTTAGGAAGCAGGCACGTAAACGGTTACGTCATGACGCAAACGATGAGGCAATGACGCAGTACCATCCCGGCTCTTGAGCGGTGTGAGCGGTGTGAACAGAGCGGGAGCTGAAAAGGGAAACAGGAGCTGAACCAGAAAAGCTCTCGCGAGGAGCTAGAAAGTGAAAAGCGCCGGTGTGAAAGCCGCATTATTGTTGGTACTTCGGCTGTGACTTTGTGTGTGCTCAGGATGAGTTTGGCTGTGTTTGGCTGTGTATCGCTAACAAGGAAACAACACCTCCACGGAGCTCAGCACGATTCACAACGTCCCGACCAATCAGAGCACACTGTGCTCACAGGGAGGGTGGGGGCTGGAGCTATTGGAGCTACAACGAGCCGTTAAAGGCAGAGAGTGAAATTCAGTGAATACACGTAGTTTACAGAGATGCTGTATGAGAAACCAATGTGAGTTTGGAAAATTGCACAATATAAATTTATTCTAGTAGATCTCAACAATGGAATTATGATCAGTGGAAATGGCCATGACATGGGCCCTTTAAGATCAATATCACAATATCAAGACAACAACAAACAAGACTACAGAAATGCATAAAGCATGAAAAGAGTTTATTTAAAAAGCATGCGGCCACCCACTTTAAAAAAATATATAATATGTTTTAACAATGTGTATTTTAACCGCTGTGCTGTGTGTTTGTTGTTTGAGATCTGATCATGAATTAATAAACAGAATGTGGTTCTATCAACACAATAGGATGCAATATTTAGCAATCAATTCAACATGTAATGTCTTAACTGGTCAAGTAGTCCTTCTATTCTATTTGATTGTTTATTTACAGCTGATTTCTTGAATATATATAATAATTAAATATCTCATACAGAAATCAGCAGAACATGGAAATACTTAATGGAAGAATAAGTCCCTCCTCAATATTATATATATGGGTAATTATAAAACGGACAAGTCAAATCAAGCAATCTGATTGGTTCTTAGCCGTGATATACTGAGCGTATACCACAGGTAGAATTGTAGTTACTTTTCACAACAAGTCAGTATCCCTCCGCGTCTGAGAAAAACTGGATACAGTTGGGCGGAAAAGCAGTTTGCTTTTCGAACTGGAACAAGAAAACAGCGGAGAAGTAACGGGGCAGAAACCCTCCTTTTTACGCAGCGGTCCAGACATAGACATCAAACGGCAAAACATATTCAGTGTGCAGTTCCTTTGGCATTAGGGCAGGGATATCTAGATACTTTCCAAGGTTTGACATAATTAATTGTGCTACTTTTAAAGCAAGCAACGATGTTTTCAAATCTGTAATCAAAAAGATCAGCAAAAACGCTATCGAAGCAGTTCCTACCTTTGCTACTTAGTTCAAACAATAACAACGGACTATTTTTGATCTGCCTGTCCGGTATTCTTTTACCCATAATGACCGCCTCGCTGCACATTATCCCTTACTTAACCCTTCTCTTGCGTTTCGGGTGTGACGAATGACTTTTGTTTTAATCATAAAATATCAGGGAAGCGTGTGGCGCAGTGGATAGAGCCTTGGTGTTGGGATCAGGGGGTCACAGGTTGAAACCCCACTGCAGTCAGCATGTCGTTGTGTCCCTGGGCAAGACACTTCACCCCAAAATTGCTCCTGTGGGGATTGCCCACAGTATTGAGTATCTAAGTCGCTTTGGATAACTAACATGTAATGTCATAAATATTGTGTTTTTCATCCAATTGCCTCAATACCCCGCGCGCACACACACACACACACACACACACACACACACACACACACACACACACACACACACACACACACACACACACACACACACACACACACACACACACACACACACACACACACACACACACACACACACACACACACACACACACACACACACACACACACACACACACACACACACACACACACACACATCACACACAACACACACACACACACACACACACACACACACACACACACACACACACACAATTTCTCTTTCAATAAATGTTCATTGAGGAAAACAGTATCAGTGTCTTATTCTATATTCATCACAGTGAATGCTGAACTTGATGGGCCCACCGGTAGGTCCAGACCATGACATGAAACACTGGCTTGCTTGTATCAAATCAATACATCCCATACATCATTGGAATGGGAAGAATCTCAGCTACAACACTAACTAAAGCATTTCCATCTCCAGTACAGCCTATATGGCAAGCATTGTTATAATATACAGTAATGTAAAATAAGCACTATCTTTGAACTTACTGCCAAATATAATATGAAATTCACCCCTGGTGTCATTCTGTCCGTCACCCCTTGATTCTACACTTGCTTTGACTGTTCAAATGAGATGTCAACCATCAAAATTGGATAAGGGGTTCCAGAGATATCACTGTGCAAAACACACCGGTCAATTTTGACCGAAAATAGCATGGGAAGGGGGGTATGACCTAACGCAAGAGAAGGGTTAACTTCGACCCCCGAGGTGGCCTTACTATGGAGGAGTGGATTGAGCAGTGCCTATCTCCAGAGCTACTGGAAGCCGAATCTCGGGGACCGGAGAAAGTGGAGCAATATTCTCGCCACGCCAAGCAACAGTCTATACAACCTCAACCTATACAAGTAACCAAGTAAGCCATTCTACTGATGCTGGACAGTTTTTCAGTGGGTGCACAATAAATGGCAACATACAAATGAATGTAAATAAATAGCCAAATAATCGATCAACTCTCTCTGTCTAATATGTTCACTTGCTGTTAGTGTTGTTGCATAACAACCTCCTCGAGTTCAGTAAAGTTAGAACGATATTGGCAGATTCGGATTTCATGGATCAATAACTGATGAACAAAACGTTATTCAGACACAAATTACGTCTCCTAAGTACCGTGCTAAGGTTGACAACGAACTACAATCACATGTTGATCAAAAAAAGCCAATATGCGCCGTTCTCCGAGCTGGACACATTAAATTGGTCTCTTTCCGCAGCCGGAGAAGAAACGAGTGCTGAGGGACCGTCTGCAAAGTGCAACTCCGAAAAAAGAGAATACAATAATATTCAATAACTGTACTATTATACAGTATATTTCTACCAAACTCACTAAACACATCAATAGTCTTCTGGTGGTCATACTACAGCAGAGAATTTGGAAGAATATGGTTTTAAATAATTTTGGTGAATATTTATAATGTAAAATCATCAATAAATATGGCATCATCTTCAATAACGTTACTATTGTACAGTATATTTCTACCAAACTCACTACACACATCAATAGTCTCCTGTTGGTCATACTACAGCAGAGAGTTTGGAAGAATATGGTTTTGAATAATTTTGGTGAATATTTGTAAAAATCTTCAATAAATATGGCATCATCTTCAATATCTTCACTATTATACAGTGGAGTGCTACCAAACTCACCTCAGACATTAATGGTCCTCTAACTTGCTACACTACAAAAGCGTATTTGAAAACGTATTTTAATGATCGTTATGTTATTTTAAAATAAAGTGTATTGGTAAGTATAAGTTACTGTCAAACAGGAGACCCCTTAATTTTAACCAGAAGCGATTGAAATTTAACTCAAAAGAAAATCTCCTATTTATTCATAAACCATAACACTGTTTTATTGTTCTTTCATTAATTAACTTACAGACTGAATATAGACATGGTAGCACCTACATCAAAGCAAGATCCATCAAAAGTAGAACAGTCTTTTAATCATCAATAAACTAGACACATTGATATATACATATATATGTTACACATTGTATATACAGTATGTTATATATAAATTAAGACATTAAACAACTTTTTCATTAGCTATGAAACAGTAAAATAAAGTTAAAATTGAAAAATAAAACATTTCAGGCTTTTCACCTATCTTACTGTATAATATTAATGAACAAATCTACAATGTAATGTCTGACATGGAAAACATCATGAACATCTGTGACTAATTTAATCTGTAAGGGAAAATATATTTAACATCTTAATTAAGTTTTATAATAATTTAAAACTATGGACAGGTGATTATTAATCATTACTTCAGTTGCGCAAAATCTTTAGCAAAGCTTTTTTCTGGATTTTTGTTTGTTTTGTACAAAATTCAGCTTTCATTTTGCCGATTTAAAATCACTGGCTGGGCTGGATTTTCCCCCACATGCCGTTTATAAGCGCACTAGTTCTATTGTGGTAGTAGTTCTAACAAGCCTTACCTCCCCAAATCCTGGTACCTCTGGTAAAAGTTACACAAACTCTTACATAGCCTCTTTAGTTAGGGATGATACACAACACACAATACCACAGGGTATCTTTTGTTGGTATTAGTGCAGCAGTCATTCCGAGGCACTGCGTGTGAAACCATCTTCCACAAGTTTCACACTGAATCTACATGGGAATAAATACAACAAAGATATTAAGAAAATGTCAAGTGTAGGACACTTGTAAAGCAGGCATATTCATTTATATTTTAAAGAGATTATACTTTTTTTTTTTTATATAAATACTTGTTGTTATTCAGGTTTATCTGTACTGTGCTAAAACTTTAACAAACTATAAGAAAAACAAAAGGAAACCTGTAATGCATAAAAATTAGGGCTGTCAAGTTAACGCGTTAATAACGCGGTAACGCAAAAAAAAATTAACGCCACTAATTATTTTAACGCGATTAACGCATGTGTATTTTTTGTCCTCGGCCGCCGTAGTTTCAGAGCGCATCGAGTTTAAAATACCATCGACAAGCTGATGCTGACAGCCCCGCTCCTACCGCCCGCTTGTGGCAGACCACACTTCCACGCTCACTGGCAGGCCCGGACTGGCCATCGGGAGGACCGGGAGGGAGTGTGTATGTGTGGCGCGCAGTGGCGACTGGTCATTAGGGGCAGGTGGGGCACAGCCCCACCTAGTGTCAGCAGAAAGTATTACACATAATGAAAACAAAAAATGCAAAAAGATGCAAAAAAAGAAATAAAAAAATATATAAAATATATTTTAAGGTCATGTTTAATCATCTGATTCGTCTGTACATTGCTGTTTTAGTCTGTGTTCTTCTAATTAGTGTCTACAGTGCCGTTTTGAGCCATGTGGGACAAAACCTGATTCTGCCCCTCCCTCTCACTGTTTAAGTGAACGGTGACTGTAAAAACTACACTGCGCATGCTCAGAGTATTTTTCAATGGAATGTGTGTGGCAAAAAAAAAAAAGGCCAAAGGGGCACGGAGCTGCCATCCCCACCATACGTCAGCTCACATTATTCAGAACTGATTGGCTGTAAATATGTCACGTGTGCAGTGCTGCGAAACGTCACGTGTAGTGTGAAGAGAAGACGAGAGAGCAGCATATAGCTAACATCACCAGCGATTAAAAATAAGTAAAAAACGGAAAGAAAATGAATGAAGTTGACCATTTACTGGAGCACACATTTGAGACACTTAGTCTCGGAGAGAAACTGGAGGTAAAGCGCCTCGGTGCCCACCATCCACCGGATTTCCAAATGGTCCAGACTGCGGGCAAAGTGAACCGCGGGTTTAATGCTGAGTGGTTTGCTAAAAAGAAATGGCTAACGGCGAGCATCCAGAAGAATTCCCTCTTTTGCTTTCCTTGCCTGCTTTTTGGTGAAGATCAAGGTACTTGGTCGAGGACAGGTTACAAGGACTTAAAGCATCTTTCGGAGAGGACAATGAAGCATGAGAGCAGCAACAGTCACTTGGAAAATGCCGTAAAATTGGGATTACTGGGAAGGGTGAATGTTGCAGCTCAGATTGACAGCGCCTACAGACGCGGCATTGATGATCATAATAGAAAGGTGGAAGAAAACAGGTACGTGTTAGGTCGGATCATCACCTGTATTAAACTGTGTGGGAAATGTGAGACAGCACTGCGGGGCCACGACGAGTCGGCGGACTCTCTGAATCCAGGGATATTCAGGTCAATTTTCGAGACAATGTGTGAGGGCGATTCCAGGCTTCGACGGCACTACGAAGCTCAGCCCGTTTTCAAAGGGACATCAAGCACCATACAGAATGAACTCTTGGACTGCATGTATGATGTGTACAGGGAGGAAATATCCAAGCAAGTGGACAACACATCATTTGTTGCCGTTCAGGCCGACGAGACAACCGATGTCTCATGTAAATCGCAAATGGTGATTGTGCTGCGATACATTATGCCTGACCTCACAGTTACAGAGCGTTTTTTGGAGTTTGTGGAAGTAAAGGACAAAACTGGTGTAGGTCTCTCTAACAGCATCAAGGCTGTTCTTGAACCCCTGAAGCTGAAAGAAAAGCTAATCGCTCAGACCTATGACGGGGCGGCCGTCATGAGCGGTAACGTGCGCGGGGTACAGACGGTCATGAAGGAGACGTACCCAAACGCTCAGTTTGTTCACTGCTACGCCCACCAACTGAACCTGACCCTGCAGCAACTGTGTTCAGCAAGGATGAGCATCCTGAAGGTGTTTTTTGCAGATCTAACTGCTTTTTCCACTTTTTTCTCCGGTGCTCCAAAACGTGTTGCAGCTCTTGCAGAGGCAACACAGAGACGCATACCACGGCCACCGGCTGTGAGATGGAACTTTAAAAGCAGAACTGTGAACGCGGTTTGGGAGACCCGAGAAGCACTTCTTCAGTGTATGGACCATATACGCACACAACCAGGATGGGATGCGGTCACCATAAGTGAGGCATACGGCCTGTCAAAGAAACTGCGGGACCGAGCATTTATGCAGCTCCTGGAGTTTTTTTCGTTGCTTATGCCAGAAGTGGATGTTTTATACAACACTCTGCAAAAACGAACCATCGATGCACCTGGGATCAAAAGCGCGCTCTGCCGCTTCAAGGAAAATGTCCAGAAAATGAGGCAGCAAACTGATGCATTGGCCGCCACCACTCATGATGGAACAGACGAGCCAGGCCGACGAGTCAGCAGCACAGCGCCGGTAATGAAGGAGGCATGTGACACAGTCATCTCACAGGTGGAACAGAGGTTCTCACAGAGTGACCATTTGATCGCTGCAAAGCTCGTTGACAGCTCATTCTTCCCACAGCATGTCCTGTCATTTCCTACACCTGAGCTTGACTGCGCAGTGAAATTGTGGCCTGCTTTGGGAAACAAGGAGAAGTTGAAGTCTGAGCTGACCACGCTCTACCGCCACAGTGAACTTCACACTGGAAACACTGCCCTGTCTCTGTTGAAATCCATTCACGAGAACAACTTGGAGGATACGTTTGCTGAGACTGTTATTTTGGTCAAAATAATAGTAACAACTCCGATGACGACATCCGAGTCAGAGAGGAACTTTTCCACCCTCAAAAGGATAAAGACTTTCACTCGCAACACCATGGGACAGCTGCGAGTTAACGCATTGGCCATGCTTTCAATTGAAAGCCAGTTGATCCAGCAACTACAGGACTTCATCCCCAAAGTGATAGAAACATTCTGTCAGAGGAAGGACCGCCGTGCCGCTTTTCTTTTCAAGTGAGCCTTCAGCTTTGGTAAGTTCATTTATGTCATATATTTTGTTTGATCTTCTGTGTTTTGCCTCTGCTGGATCGATTGATATTGTGACCTCGGTGATGAGTGTCTGTGTTTTCCTTATATTTACAGTCTATGGTGTTTTAATGCTAAAGCATTATGGTGGTTGTTGTTGTTGTTAAGAATTGCTTTGTGATGGTGCCCTTTACTTATGTATTAAGGTGCATTACAATATGACATCCCCACGCTGTGTACCGTACATTTACGTACACAGTGTACGTAAATGTATGCGCTGACAGTGTTGCTCCGTGTGGTCTTCAGTATGTAATTTGACACTCCCCCTCTCTCCTCTCTCTCTCCCCCCCAACTCTCTCTGTCCCCCCCCTCTCTCTCTCTCCCCCCCACCTCTCTCTGTCCCCCCCTCTTTCTCTCCCCCTCTCTCTCCCCCACCTCTCTCTGCCCCCCCAGTTTTGTACACATAGAAACGCCACTGGTGGCGCGACTCGCGCGAGCGAGGCACACCTTACGTGTTGTTGTTGTTAGCATCTGGTGCTAGCTAGCTGCGCTAACGGATATAAGGAGCTGTTTCAATGACATTTCGCCGACAACTGCGCCGAGCACTTGACTTTATGCAGGTAGCCAGACAGTGGGACACTGTACGAAAAGTCAGCACACTCAGCACGGATAGTACGCGCTACATGATTGCAGCGTCCAGGCAGCTCCCGTTGGAGCATATATGCCTTGAGCCACACACACACACACACACACACACACACACACACACACACACACACACACACACACACACACACACACACACACACACACACACACACACACACACACACACACACACGACAGCACACACACACTACACACACACACACACACACACCACACACACACACACACACAACACACACACACACACACACACACACACACACACACACACCACACACACACACACACACACACACACGACACACCACACACACACACACACACACCACACACACACACATTGTATGAGAGAGGTTCCAGGTTGAATTGAAGGGAATATTTGTAATGTTCAGAGGTTGTTGTGTTTAATATTCATGAGAATATTTGTCATTGTTCAAATGATAAACAAACATATAAGCATATTTGTCCACTCATATGTTGATAAGAGTATTAAAAACTTGAAAGATATCCCTCTAAGGTACATTTAGAACAGATAAAAAATGTGCGATTAATTTGCGATTAATCGCGATTAACTATGGACAATCATGCGATTAATCGCGATTAAATATTTTAATCGACTGACAGCCCTAATAAAAATATACAAAATGTCATTACTTTTATGTTATTCCTGAAATCTAACTCCAGATGATCTATATAGTATGTATTATTCAGATTATCTTCTGGAGTTTCAAAACAATTCATCATTTAGGCGCCGTTTACACGAGGAGAAAACTGCTTGTATCTGCATAGTTTCGCGTGCGTATAGCCCTATTATTTACACGAGGCCGATAGAAACTGACCCCACAAACAATAACGGGTCCCAAGGTGGATAGATTTGCAAACAAACGCTCTGGGGGGTCAACCGAGTCCGTGTAATCACCTCGATACGAATATTTCCTGAAAAAATAACGATAGCCCCGCCTCTCCTGCTCACTGCTGAAGCAACTATCAAAAATAGCTGTGTTAATTAAACGCACAAGGGGTTCTTGAATGAAATAATATTATAAAAGGCAAACCAGAATTGTTAACGCCCAATATACTCCTTAAACAAAATAAACAGAGTCAGATTTCATGCATTGATCCATTATATTGACAAAGGAGGATCTCACCCGGTGTTTGTAGAGAATATCTCTCTCTTTCTGAGCCGTCCTCTCCACGGAGACGTGCTTCTTGGGGGATGCAATATCCACAGATTCGGTTTCTTTCAGTTTCTTTCAGTTTCAGTTTCAGTTTCGGGGCTTAAACAGAAGGGTAGCCATGGCAACATTGCAGCGGGCTGCTCGGTTGCTCTTCTTCGCGGCTTTTGGTGTATTTTGGCGGAAGTTACAGCGCCACTTACAGTCCCAGCATATGTACTACAGCGTTTCCAGCGGCCTCGTTTGAACAGACACGTTAAATGAAACAAATGCATGTGAACGGAAGACTTTTTTGAATACGCATACTGTGCATAAACGCAAACGGTCCCGTGTGAGCGGGGCCTTAGTCTCACCCAAACAGCATCAACAGCAGTTGTGGGCAGGTCCTCAATTCCACAGAAGGAACAGAAGTCATCCTTTGAAACTGAAAAAATAACAGGTGTATTACTGTTCAATTTACAGGAAGCGATCCATATATTCATTTCATATTTTTGGCTAATACCTGATCCTTTGAGAATTTCTTCTGCCATGTCTCTTCGTAGATTTTGAAGAGATAGTTTTGATGAGTTGATGTGAAACGTCTGTGGTATTTTCGGAAATTCCTTCACTGTCATCTTGGCCATCTGGACAGATGGTAAAATAACATGACGTTATGACGTGTTTTTGAATTTCCCTTTAAAATAAAATGCTTTATTATTAATGAACACAACATGTTGCATTGAATCACCTGCATGACAAAGGCTCCACAACTGGTGGCATCTTTCTGGAAGGTGTGGGTTATCTTTCCTGGCTGCCATTTAATGTTAACCCAGTCCTCTTTTCCCAGTCTGTTCCGGCGCATCTTGAAATACTCTCTATAGAACAATAGGAAAAAAAAAAAATTGCGCTTACTCTTTGCCTTTACCAAATGTGCGTTTAACCAATGTATTTTCCTGTAATATATTTTATATAACCCAAATTTGTAACCAGCCTTTCTGGAGTCCTCAACTTCATTTGACCCTTGCAGAGGATCAACCACATAAATGTGGTTTGAAAGGGCATGGAGGTACTGTTTTAAAAAGTAGCATACCGTATAATTAAACCAAACCTTTTTCAATATGTCAGCAGCAACAATAATGTATCAGCTTTTCTTCAAAAATGAAAACCACAGTTAACTAATAGATTCACATTATTAAAATTACTTCAACTGTTAAAAAAGCTATTAAAAGTAATACTAAAATAATAACTACCCATTTTAAATGGGTATATTTAAGACTTAAAAGTATTGAAATAATTAAAGATGTCAGATCAGATGAAAGAAAGTTGCACAATTTGGGGTCAGAAGACTCAAATCTTTAGTGGAGCAGTAGCGACCACCAATGAGAAATGGTTGAATGAGTACTTATTTTGGACTACATTTTATATTGTTTCCCTATGATATAGATGAAGAACATGAAGACATTAAAACTAAAAGAAGCATTTTTAAACCAATCCTGAGGCAAAGATGCATTTACAAAATGGGGCTGCATGAGATACACATTTTAGTCTTAACTCTGTCACAGTATATGAGTAATGTATTACAATATTTTTTAATAGCAATGTATATTTAGTTGTATGCATTTGAATAAATGTAATCATACATCTTCAAAGTAATATTTGATTAACTTGAAATGTGCAAACCCTGAGCAAAACATGCTGTAAAAGCAGCTACAGTATTACTACACGAGTAGCTGTATACTCACCACAAACTTCCAGTGCACATTTCTTATATTGACAAATCCAATGGCTCCATCATATAGATCAAATGTGACCTGAAAAAATTAGGGAATATGTAAACATAAGTGTTATTTTCTATAATATACAGGTGCAAAACAATAATTTAATTTACACAGTATTCATTATTTATTTTTCTCAACAGGAACAAGAAAAAAAGGGAAGCTTATATTCTAAATGTATTGGTTAAAAACAACACAAATGTCTCCAAAAACTACATACATGATTATAATAATGCTGGAAGTTGCCTGTAGACACAGTTCAGTCTCCTTTCTCAAGCCTACAATACTAAAAGGGATGAAAATACTTTGAATAATCAGTTTTACTCACCTTTTTTAGCTCTTGCCTGGCCATCTGCTCTCGTGTGACGTGTAGGATTACACCCATGGTGTAGTGATCCAGGAGGTATAGACGGCCAGCATTATCCTTCAGGTTGAGGATGCCTCTAATGTAACATTCTATTACCTTTTGGATAAATTGTAGGGGAAATAATCATACAAAATGCCAGCTAATATAGAGGCCAAAGTCGGTTTTAATCACATCATTGTCAGATCATTTTAGAATGGATCAATTATGCAAAACCTTTGCTAAAACTGGTCTATCTAAAGTCACACTCCAGATGGACTGGCCTAACAATTTACTTGGATATCATTTTGTGTAGCACAAATTACATACTTTTTGTCAACAATTGAATCATTAACATATGGCTTATGTGAGATGAGCAGTCCGGTACAGCATAAGTTTTAATAAATACTTGCCTCGCCTATGATGAGTTCATCAGGTCTCAAACTCTGAAATTCTCTGTGCCTCAGGGTGAAATTATGCTTCTCTTCAGCATGTCTTACAACAGCCACAAAAACTTCAGTTGGTTTGCATGTCCAAAGGGCATCAACCTAAAATGAAATGAACAATGATATCATAATAACTTCGTACAGCATTTGCCATTAATTCAATTTTAAATACTTTTAATGCACTATACATTTTGTACGTTTTCTATGAAAGATTGGCTCATGCTAAAACGTTTTTAATGCTTTCTTAACATTGTTTTTATAGCTCGAAGAATTGCTTACTTTGTTACTCTGTTTAAAGCATACATTTTAATATAGCAAAACAATACCTCTGTTGCAGGCTTGGACCCTTTACTTGTGGGGTCATTGCTGCTGTTCTTCACATCTGTGCTGCTCTGAATATCTTCGCCAGTGTTCAGAGTTAACTTTGCTCTTTTTGGAACTGGAAGAATGTCTGGAGTGGTGTAATATTTGGAGCTGGCAGTGCGAGGCTTTGCTCCATCTCTCTTTGCCCAACCTTCCTTAGATTGACTGATGTCTTTTGGTAGCAATGTTTTGAGTAGTAACTGCTCAGATAAGTGATGTGCCATTATGTGTTCTCTGTACCTCCCCTGTAGAGAGCCATACAATTTTCTGATGAATGCCGCTGGCCTCAGTCGTCTCTGCTTTTTTAGAATAGAATGTTTGACTATTCCAAACCATCTCTCCACATGGCAGTTTGTGTCCCTTGTTTTACTTTGGCCAAATGTGTCTTCCTCTGTGTCAGTTGCATATCTTTTCAAATTCCCCAACAGCAGCCCACTCCAAAGGGGAAAAATCCCTAGATAGTTGTCAAAAAGGACATCAACAATGCCAGGGCAAAAGTATGGATTTTCATCCTGTGGGGTTTCGACCTCCTCTTTTTCAAGCTCTCCCTGTACCTCCTCCATGACCTTCCTAAACTCATATGTGAAGGGAGATCTGCCAACAATTGTGTGGGCATTTCTTCTTTCTTCATCATCTTCCTCCTGAGTTAAGGGGCTGTCTCCTAACTTGTCCCCCTCTTCCATGTCGGGAATCCTGCATTCTTTTATGAAGTCCTTCACGGCCTTCAGATGGATCAGGACAGTATTGGAATTGTGCTTTCCAATTAACACAGTGCACAACGAGCGGAAGATTTTTAGTGCTGTGGTCATTGAAGTAGCATTTTGCAACCTGGCAAATGCAAATGTTGCAAATTCCTTCAAACCCTTGTCTGCAGTTCTTCTCCCAATTGACTGTGCTACAGCTTTCAGCACGTGTGCAGAGCAAATGTGTAGCACTGCCAACATTCGGATTTCCTTCCATGACTTCAGCTTTGAACAGATAGCGAAAGCCCTGTCCAAGTAACTGACAATGCTCTCCTTGTTAAAAGAAAAGAGAACACTTTGGAGCAGGGCCCAGCTGTAGTCTGTTTCTACCTGATGTACTTTTATTTTAGTGTACTGTGACAGTTTGCGGAGGAACTGCATTAGCCAGAATGTGATTGGTGGTATGGAGTGTTCATTTGTCAGCATTTCGCAGACTGGGAGGGGAGGTACTTGCTGACCACCTCCAGGAAGAGTGAGGCAGTAATAAAGCACTCTTTTGGTCTGACCTGGAACTTTGGATGCAACATTACCTGTAGCATCTAGATATAGGGTCAGCGGTGTCTTCTTTCTCAGGTGTTGCACAACTATGTTTACTCCGGTTTCAGAGTACATATGTACACCAAATGGGTCAACTTGAAAATGCTGTATGTACCCAGGCATCCTGTGATAATTTGAGTCACATTCCTTAATGATCATTTGTGTGAGGTACATCTCCATGAAAACATCCTCATGGATTCTTTTACCTCTTCTTACTTCTGAACGTATCACTTTGAGAACATTTTTGTTCAGACTGCGGGTTATGTTTCCTGAAATCAGTTCAGCAACAGGTGTTTTTTTAAGTTTACTGTAAAATACTTGACTCACTCCTTTATGCAGGGCTCTTGCAATTCTGCCTCTTCTTCTGTTTGCTGCTGGTCGGAATTTTTTCTCATTTGCTTTGTGTGCCATTTTCCCTCTTTGCAGCACATATATTTTAACAAGGGTGTCTCCCACTGGCTCATTTTGGATTTTAAAGAAGAATTTGGCCCTGCAGGAAGGGAATGTACAAACTGCACAGATGTTTAAGTACGGACTTTTCATTTTCCTGCTGTTAGGAATTTTTATGTGGTGACTCTTGAAGGCAAGTGTACAACAGGGATTTTTATCTCGAAAACTCTTGTACAACACGTCGGTCCACGGTTGCCTCAGTTTGTTTGAACCCGTCAATGGAACAATCTTTTGCCATTTCTTTTGATTTACTGTTATTCTGAACCTTTTAGATACTACTGGCAACTTCCGCCAATGTGTTTTGGTGCCTGTGTTTTTATTGTCATCTTGTGCTCCTCTTTGCAAATTCTGTTCTTCAGTTTCTGCCTCATTGATTTCTATGTCCTCATCTGATAACTGGTCATCTACCTCTCGTCCACTCTGAGAAGACATCCTTTCTTGTTTGTCTTCTGCCTCATTTATTTCTATGTCCTCATCTGATAACTGGTCATCTACTTCTCGTCCACTCTGAGAAGACATCCTTTCTTGTTTGTCTTCTGCTTCATTGATTTCTGTGTCCTCATCTGATAACTGGTCATCTACTTCTCGTCCACTCTGAGAAGACATCCTTTCTTGTTTGTCTTCTCCTTCTTTATTTTCTGTGTCCTCATCTGATACCTTATTCTGAATCATGCTCAGAGGCAAGTCCTTTGCAAGACAGTCTTCAGAACATGCCCCTCCAACATCTCTCTCGTTTTGATTTTCCTCCATTACCTGAACTTCCTTCTGCTCTAATGATTTTTGGCGTTTATAGATCAAATCCCTCAATCCTTTTCGATTGTTGGTCCATACAACCCACAGCCAATGACGGTTTTTCTTATCATCATGACCAAAAAGGATTAGAGCGAGTTCCAACCAAATATATGAAGAATGTCCTGTATCTCTTTTGGTAATGTGAACACTCTTCATTGCTCGGACCAAAGCTTCCATTCCACCAGCCATTGCCCATAAGTCCTTCCTCTGGGCCCTGTTTCCTTTTTTAACTCTTCCCATTATTTTCAAATTGCATCTAACCTAGGAAAAGGAGGACAGGCAAAGCTAAATATTTGTTCTCAATATAAAAAGAGTTTGAAGTAAACTTTTTAGAAGTACATATAAGAAAAAACTGTGGCCAAATATGTAACACTAAGTTGGGTTTTTGTTTTGGTTTGCAAAACTAGTCATTTGTCATTTTAATGTGTAATATTACATAACAGGAACAAATAACATTTGTTTGTAGTTTTAATTCAGTAACATTTCAGTTGATCAAATACTAACAAGATGAGCTCAAACGTAATTGTCTAAACAGGTATATAAGCATAGCTTAAATGACTGTTAGTAACTTCAATGAAAAGACAATAAAATAAAATAATACTTACATATAACCTTGGAACAGGAGTGGAGGCATGTTTTCAAAGAAGTCCCAGCGCATTAAGTACTGAAAGTGTTATATTTAGGCAAAATGTGTCCTCTGTGTCAGTAGCATACATTTTCAAAAATGTCTATCCTCATAGTTTGCTGTAAGCACTGAAAAACGGCATGATCCATGCATGCTTTATTGAAGGCAAGTGATTGGCTGGAGGCTTGATTGCTCTGCATCCTTCATTTGATTGGTTTAAACTCTTCACCCTTTTGCCATGGACCCATTTTTTTTCTTTTTAGGTGTGGCAGCTGATCTTTAGAGGGGAAATAAAAAGTAAAGTATATTATCGTGTACATCATCTGCACCTGAAGATGTTTTCACGATTTGGCTTCATTTCTAGTCCTAAATCCTAGTCCTAATTTATTGCACTAAGAAGTACTTGCACTAATGTCCAACTCATGTTTCTTGTTGATTGTGTTTTTTATATATATGTATTACTTACTTTTATACCCTTGTTTAGCTAGAACTTTCTTAAGTTGTTTATATATATATATATGTTGTTTTTGTTCACGCTGTGGGACTGTAAGAAACGGCATTTCAATGTTTCTGTATAACACATGTGGAAAATTTGACACAAAAGTTGACTTTAACTTCAACTTTGGCTAAATCTGTAATAAACATTTAGTTTTGTTCACAAAAATATTTATACAAATGTATCGGTGGAGTATAAGAAACAGGAGACTATACCGATTGTAAGTCGCTTTGGATGAAAACGTCAGCTAAATGTAATATTAATGTGTAGTGAGTTTGGTAGTAATAAACTGTATAATAGTACAGTTATTGAAGATGATGCCATATTTATTGAAGATTTTACATTATAAATATTCACCAAAATTATTCAAAACCATATTCTTCCAAACTCTCTGCTGTAGTATGACCAACAGGAGACTATTGATGTGTTTAGTGAGTTTGGTAGAAATATACTGTATAATAGTAACGTTATTGAAGATGATACCATATTTATTGATGATTTTACATTATAAATATTCATCAAAATTATTCAAACCATTATTCTTCCAAACTCTCTGCTGTAGTATGAGCAACAGGAGACTATTGATGCGTGTAGTGAGTTTGGTAGAAATATACTGTACAATAGTAACGTTATTGAAGATGATGCCATATTTATTGATGATTTT